AAATACCTTCTGCAAAGTGAACTCCCTTTTGGACTCGAACTTTCGACTAAGTGGTGTAAATAACATATACAAACTGGGCAGTCAAAAAAAGCGCCACTAGTCATAGAGTTCATATGATTTCTGAGGAAATTAGATAATTATAAAAACAAGGCTCCACTGGAGAATCCCAAGAAAAATATGATCTCAATAGCTAATGACCTTTCCTCAGTACCTTGTATATAAACATATTTCTATTGTTAGCTCTCCTATATTCTGAATGATGCATTCGATATTTGTCACGAATTGGTTAGAAAGATTCAAACCTGGAATTTCTTCTTTGTTTATACGGTGCAAAAAAAATTCATAAATTCATTTTGCATTGATTTCAGTTTTCTTTTTCCAAGAACTGGGGTTGTGGATTCCGATTAATAGACGCGATCTCTAGCCGACTACGTACTGAATGATGGATAAATGATTCGATGTTATCGATGTTTCCAGAAATCGCAGTGATGCGTCTGAGGAAACCTAGCAATCTTCAGGCATCATTTCTCACAATATTGACATGTTCACTGAGATTCAAGTTTTTCGTAAAGTGAACACGAAGATCTCTCATAGATAAACATCTTCCTATAATTGTGTTGTTCATAGTATGAATAACATGCTCAGTATTTTTGGATCAATAAAGAGTCATAATCTTACATTCATCAAAAATAGAATGACTCTTGTGAGTATCAGGTCAACTTATAATTTTGTCAATATCGTTTTGCACGTCAAGGTTATCATCTACGTTCTTTTTGATCTGAACATTTTGTAATCATCTACATACAGCATGCTCAGAAGTATCAGAGAGTGGTAGGTCATTATCGATTATGATGTAGAGGAGAGAACTGAGATACGAACCCTCAGGTTCCTCAGATTTTGCTTAGGAAATTGTTAAGTTGTGTCCAATGAAAATTATCAGAATGAAGTATGCGACTTCAGAAAGAGAACCAATTGTTCATTCAGACGAGAAGATATGAGATTCGATGAACAAGATATCATCATCTACATAATCAAATGCCTTAGCAAAATCTATACAATTTTCAATCCATTCAAACAGGTGGCAAAATGTGTTTCGATACATTCTTTTTCACGAAAACCGTGTGATGAGGCTCATCATCTCAATTATTTTCCACCTGATTATTGATTCTTAATAGGACAGTTATACATGTATCAAGGGCGTTAAGTACTCATTCACTACAAAAAAGTACCCTTGATAACACTCGATTTACTCTCATGGTTTTGACAAAGTTTGTATTTCAATTATCATTGTTTATGTTCTAAAATTACTAAAATGCAAATTTCGTCAAAACCATGAGAGCAATCAAGTCTTATCTTGAGTACCTTTTTCAAAGTAAATGAGTTGCGTAATCTAAATTTCATACTCAAACTTCTTTTCTTCCATTGGCGTAGAATTTTTAAAGGTGCAATTATTTAAAAAATCAAGTTCTACGCCTATGTATTATTATCGGACATAATTTCAACACCACTTTTTTGCCATATAAAACTATATCGATTTACCAAATTTCAGCGAAATCGCATATGCCGTTTTGAATTTGTATGGGGAAAACGATTCAAAAATTGTAACCTCAAGGCCCTCTGGAGCCCAAAATGATGCAACTTTGTACTGAGGTGATTTTACTTGAATTGACTTATTTTGGTCTAGGGAATATATAGTATGTTTTTGGAAAGATCTTCTACAGACACCCTGTATAAACCGTAGCGTGTTAGTCGGAGGATAAGCAATAGCGAGGGCTATCAACACGCTTAGTTCAATGAAAGCCAGTTACGTCCGAAATAAATACGAACATTTCACACATTCATTCAATCTCAATATGTAAACCATCGATGATTCTGAATTAATCCGGTCAAATTATGTATGCCACTGACGAAGAACGATCGGAGGGAAATCTACTAGAAATCACTAGAAAATCAGTGAAATCACTTTACCTCCCGATCATCTACTTCACTGTTCGCCGGACTACTTTACCGCCCGCTGTACTCCTTCATTCACCTAGGGTGCTAAAGTACTCCTCCACGCTCGTGAATTTGGGCGATGAAGTGCCACTTCACGTCTGGTCGTTCATAAAATAAGTTCATATAATTGGATATATCATTTAAAACAGCTAGGGTTCCTTGATGCAAATTTGACGTATTTGTCATCTTTACAGGGTATGACCAGATCATCTGGTGACTCAAGTTTCGTGTACTTACATCCCTGACCTGACATTGCTGTTACTTCACATGAATAGGCGTTAGATATCTCACAGTATTTCGATTAGTAGCAATTTCATATTATGATATTTTCCGATTCGGCATTCCGGAAGGATGACAAAAGGCGGTGTGTTAGACTGTAATCGGAAATGAAAATAAACTCAGAACATGTGAAGTCATCAAGAACAGTCAGATAAGCTGTCCATCAAACCAATCCTTTTTGTGAGATATCGAAATCACTCAATAATTTTCACTATTGATGAGTCAGGAGGAAGAATATATTCGCAATGACAATAATAGGCAATCTCAACTCTAGAAAACTGCCCTAAAACTAACCTATCTGGAGCATGTTCCTGAAACTTGTGCCTCAGATACATACCAAGACCAAGAGACATTGTTCAGCATTCACTTTTTCATAGAGATGTGTTAAAATATGATTATTCATAATATAAGAGGACTCATCAAACTCATAGCTACATCCTGAGGGATTACCTGCTTTGAGTCAAGAAGTTTCTGCCCCAAACCCTCATATCTTCAATGATGTTGGCAAATTACTACTTCATGTATGAGCCTAACTATAGAAATTGAATATAGACATTGACCAAACATATTATTCACTGTATAAGAACTGTGTATCATAATGAATTATTATTTTGTTCAATGCCTCCACTTCGAAAACGCTTACCTACCAACTTCCCAACTTGTATATTCAAAGAAGTACTGAGGAAAAGATTCACTAGCATACTGTTCTTCTTAGTGATCATGTAGGTATAGTGTTTTTCCTCGAACTATATTACGATTGTTGTGAACCACCCATTTCAACCCACCTCCCAATTCACTTCCGAATATTCCCGCGTATAACTTTGACAGACGAAAACTGTCATGTCTGACAGTTTCCATGTGTCCGTTTCCTACTGATGACGACAGTTCCATCTTCAAGCAAGTGAGACTTTTCACACATTCATTCTTGATTAAGGTATAGTAGAGGTAACATGCGAGAGATACTTCATGTTTGTACTGATTGTGTAGTTATGTGATGTCGTAATAAAAGGCAAATTATGAAACGAATTTTAAATAGGAAAATTAGCAGGTTTTTCACACAATACACAGGTTTTGTATGGAATTCAGAAATCGAAGATACTGAATTTGCTTCTTCGTTGTTAATATCAGAATATTTGGAAGAAAAACAACCATACTTCAGTACCAGGCGAAATATGAACTGTTATGATTTATTCAATTTCAATAATGTTATTTCCTCAGATAGATACTGAGGATGAGAAATGATCAGTAATAAATATATCTATGAATCACAACTTCACTTTGTTTTCATTATTGGTGCAAAGAAGTTGAAGAATGTAAGACATTTTCGTAACGTTTTTGTACATAAATCCAGTATAATCTGATGAAACATCCATATTGAACGTTCACAAAATTTTATGTTCAGTACCTTTCTCACGAAGATAATGTCCTATGATTCATGGATCAACAGGAGTGGAATGGTAGGGGGAAAAGGGGGGTCATTTGCAATCAAACTAACGGTATATGTGGTAATCGAGTTGTTGATGGTTCAAAATGTATTCAATTGTTTTGGAGAACGCGACTCATTTGAAAAAAATATTAACAAGAGAGGTGTTTTGAATGACCGCAAATGATTTTATACCATTCTGATATCTGTATTGAATGGGTAACTTCCTGTTATGATATGTTAACTTTGCGTGGTAGTTTTGCATTCTGCCAGCAGCATGTGGAAATCAACTGAAATATTTCATTCAATTACAAAACTTAGGGAAAACAACAATCTTCTTAGGTAATTGATTCTAAGTAACACAGGTCATGAAATTATTTCTGCAAATTGAATTCCTAAACGAGAGAAATCAAGAATGTGATATAGTTTTATTGTTATTGATTTTTTTTTTTTAGAAATGAGAATGAGTTTATATCTTTCGAACCATCAATGATAGGAAAACCACATATACGGTTAGTTTGATAGGTAATGACCCCCTCCCCTACCACCCCACGCTTTTCGTTTCATGACTCATGAGACACCCTGTATAGTTGAATCAGGTATGCCATGTGTATTTCACTCATAATACGCCAATGTCCTCAAGATAACCTAACAAAACAAAAATATCAGAAATCTAGTGTTTATCCCTGAAATTTAATAAGGATGATAATTTGTAATTTCACTTTCAATTTCTTTTTTATGTAAGTATAGGTGTTATTTTGGTGAATCTTAAATTGTTCGGGAAAATTCCAGTTTTCAGTAGTTTCATGAAATTGCGAATATGAGTGCTTTTCTACCGACGGCATCACGGCAGACATATACGCCGTTCATACCCTTTATGGGATACTCTTCATGGGACAATATGAGATATATTCATAATCGTTTCGCACAAAAAATGGAAATCTTGATACATGTCTCTGAATGCCTAATTCTGACAAAATCCTTAGATCGATTACAAATGTAAAAGTTCGAGTATATGGGGCCAGGTAGCCACGTGGTAGAAGCATAAGTATTCTAATCACGATGGCTTGCTGGTCGGGGGGTTCTAATCCCCGACTGCACATTTTTTCTGATGGCCCAAGAAAGTGTTTGGGATCACACGTTGAAGAATGAGGCCATCATCATTTCCTGGTCGCACAAGTCTCTTGAATACTTCTTAGGGCTGCTCGCAAGGGATAAACCGAATGACGAATGAAACAATTCTCGAACAACAACAAAAACAATATAGAATGAGATCAGAAAATTCTTCCTACATATTCCTTACCGATTTGGTCATTCCTGGGAAATGTAAAATCACAGCTTGGTCTGGCCACGTTTTTGTGACGTAGAAATGAAATTCCCAGACACGGTCCTTCAAATAGGTTCGTAGTGTTTGATGGAACTGAAAACAAAAATCGAGGTAGGTATTCTTATGATGGAAAAAATTCAGATTCATATTGGCAGAACTGGTTTCCAACTAGGCTAAGTAGATTTGGTATTGCATAGATTATTTTCTTCGTATGCATGATGTCAAACCAAATCAGAACGTTCAATTGACCTGAGCTACCTTGTATATTTCCGAATTCACGTGAATATACATAGGGTAGTTCCACCAATCAGGAAATTAGAATTATTACCATTCCCATAGTAACCAATTCATATTGTTATATACGAACAAGGCGCTGCGTTAACTCTCGACATTCGATCAGACCACTCAGAAAATAATCGCATCGTATACAATCCGAGCAAGCTCCAAAATCTTCTAGGAAATACATCTCAAACTTCCTGCACAATTACAAATCGTGTCAGTTCAACAGAATATTCCTTCTGCTTCGCTGACACTTTGTGAATAATTATGCAGTTATCGATGTATATAACCCGAATATTTGGAAGTACTTATGGTATTACTACTAAGAATACATCAGTTCCTCTATTTATGAGGTGGTACATTTCAATGGCAATGTGATATAGTGGGCGCAAGTATACATGATGTTTTGATTTCACGTCGCCAAACATCAATCACACATTCATCGGGTTTACCTATTCTTCAAAGTAGACAATGCTTTTCAAATACATTACCAGAATCGCTTCATTTTTGCCGAATAGGATGTTTCAATGCAGATAGAAACCAATTTTTCATCAATAATCTCGTATCACCTCTCATCTCATTTTCTTCTTATTATAGAGGGTTTATTTGTATCAGGTGGTTATACTCAATTATTTTTCGATTGTATTAGGTCCAACTCTCCTTATAGTGTATATCAATAATCTTATACATACTTCCTCCAATATAAAATTATAGTTAAATAACTTAGGATGCCACAAGGTACCGGCTATTGATGGTTCATCAATATATTTATCAACTGTATTACATGAAGAATGTATCTTGACTGTCCACAAAATGTGGGAAAGAGAAAGAAATCATAAACTAAAAAGTGATTCCTAGAATATTCAGTGCACGGTTTCCCGTATTGTCTGAAGACGACACCTTTCAACATCGTCTTGTTTCTGTCGAAGTAGATGTACACCAAAGTGGCAATGTCCTACCACAGTGATGATATAACACCTTCCCCCGAAGATTCAACTATGCAGTGTCAGCAAGGTAGTTGAACCGATTGAAGTTCAATCCTTTCCTGATGATTTTCTTCTGGTGCTGAAGGTTGCCGTCGTTTGATACGTTTTTTATACAGAACTATGCTGATGACTCCAAAAAGCAATTTCTTTCCTATGGATGGGTACTTCTTTATCGGTGATCAGCTGACATCCGCTTGGAATTTCTACGAGAAAAGTACCAGACAATTTTTGTATTTCCTCTTGTGAATTGCACTTCATTTTAATAATAACTTCATAGGGCATTATAACAATCCATTGATTAGATCGATCCAGATCGTATTATATTGGCCTCGTCACCTTGATTTGGGCTTGTTGACAACCGGAGGTGTTCTCCAGGTTGAGTAGCTGTATATCGCAATTCGGTAATTTCCTTAATTCCTACTGAAGTGCAGATATACTTTTGTGATCCAATATCAATTCAGAGGTCGCTTATGAATGAATGCATAGTATAATTCATTCTTGAGTAAAAATCTATTTCGTGGAATGATAATCTTGAACTGACTCTTTGCTCTTAGGGGAATTGGATAAAGGTGGTGAACATAAAAATCTAAACGGTGCATTATTGGAATTTGAAGAATGTTTGTTTTTCTATTATTTAAAATGAAACATTTAACTTTGGCCAGATTTTCGAGCAGAAATGTGTTTTCGAATGTGATCTCGAAAGGCGATTGTTCTTATTTTAAAATATGCTGTAACATCTGAAGTTCTTGAAAAAGTTTCTTAGTGTTCATGATACTCGGATGCATTGTTCCAAGTCTTGCGAATGTGATAAAATCCTCGATATTTCGCAATATTGAATTTATAACTTGATACATATTGATAATTTGATTCATGATGCCTTTGATGAATATTGAATTTTTTTCTGAATACGCTACCCTCACCAATTGATGCAATTTGATTAATTTTGGACTCCAACAACTCTTCATTAGGTTCTATTTGCTGAATAGTCGAATTGAATTTCGTTATCATTCGAATTGATAATGAATTTTGTATTTTAATATTGGATGCCGATTTTTCTTGGTTCAGCTGGAGGTTGTTGATCAATGTTTCATAACGTTCTCCGTCAGTTGCATCTAAATTCCCAGAGATTGATTTGAAAATGAACCCTGAGCCATTAATTAGCCCTCTTTTGATTCTAAGTGGATGTGACACGATTTCTGATAATTTGATTTCGGCCTTTTCTTCAGTGAATTTCAATATTTTTGCGAAATCTGAAGTATCTGCCGTATAGCTTGGATTTTTGATCACGACTTAAGTTTTTTGAAAAACGAAAAACGTTTTTAAAAAACAAGATTTACTTTTTATTTAACACAACCGATTCGTATGAACCTTACAATCAGAATGGATTAGTTGAATGACATGAATATGTGAGAAACTTCTGTCGGTTGAGGGGGTTGGTTGCTTCTTTCAGATGTCCTTGATGTCCTCCTGGTCCTCTGGACTGTACGTATACCCAAGTATAGCAGTATCGAAGTAACTAATACGTACAGTGGAATGGTCCATGGGAAGTGAATTGGTGGTCCTTGATCGTCAATTCGGAGGGGTTGAATGCTGTTTTCCTTGAGTTGTAGCTCATGTAGTTTGTCTAGTTGAATGTCGTCCATATGTAGTTGGTTATTCCCTAATAGTTCCTGGATCTTGATTTCTGGTAAGAGTAGTGGTTTTTCGTGGGATTCCCCTTTTTCGTTGGTATACCCATAGCCTGATGTTTGGACACTACACTGATACGGCACTTGCAAGAGGTAGGTACCCTGGAGCATCACGAAATCTGTTTGGTCGCATCTGGTTTGGACTTTTTCTCGATTAGGAAAAATACCAATATAGTATGATTCGCTAATCTCCTCGATCAGGTGTTTTTTGATTGTTACAGAAACTATTTGGCATTCGGCACGGCTGTCTCTTACTTGAAGAATGAAGAAGACACAATCTTGTTCTTGGAGTCCATTGACTAGGTTGTTGTTTTCACACAGATACTTGGAGTCGAGATAGCGGCATGGTTCAGCTTCATATTGGAACAGGTCGCCACTCATTGTGAAATAGGGATTTTTAGGAATTATTGTGGTTAAATTTTTGGTGGGTATCGAATAGAGGTGGTAGTGGTTGAAAATGTCAGGATGTACGAGGGGTATATGCAGTGCAAAAACTAATCTGTCGTTTGAAAAGTATGCTTCTACGGAAATTACGTCATATTGTTCATGTATATCGGCAACATCTGAGTAGACCAGCTGATTTTTTGAATGATGTTCACGAAGCGAACTCATAATTGATTTCATATCTTCGATTGATATTATACTACTATGCAGCCTTCCAAGTTTGGCGAACGATATAGAGTTTTCGATGTTCGTGAGAATCGATAGCAGTGTATCTAAGTTGAATTTTATTTGAGTGAATGTGTCTAGTAGTGAAAAATAATAAGTACTGTTATTTTGCAGTTCTTTTATTTTCTAGAATTTGGTGTGTTAAGGATATTTGCTGGTTTAGTGAACTAACGATTTTACCTTCATTATTCTGTAATTTTTCTATGGCCTCATCATACCGTTTCGCATCTTCTTGGTCCAAGTTTCCAGAAATAGCTTTGACTATGTTACCTAGCCCATTGATTAGTCCGCGTTTTTTTCTGTCCGTTAATGGATAAATAGACTGAAATTTTCTTTTACCGATTTCATCTGATAGTCGATGTGTTGTTCGATAGTTTGCAAGGATGAGTCATAGGTCGAAGTCAGTTTTTGTTTAATCAAGGACAATTTAATTTGTCCATATTGAGATTCGAGAATTGTTATTTCATTTTTGATTGGTTTGAATTCTAAATAATGTAAAAATGTATGTGTTCCTACTTTGATTTGTGCAATGCCGAGTTCGAAAGGTAAAATTCCAGGATTGTTCTGCAGGTCAGTTATTTGTATGGTTTTGGTCGATGTTGATACTAGGTGGGTCGTTGTTAGTAGGAGTATCCTGTAACAAATTTGTTTTCGTTATTTTGGCCCTCGGTTTCTTGAATATATTTTTATGGTAAGTATTTCGTTGCGTTTTAAGTTTGTTTCCCTCGTCTTTGTCGACTGTCTCTTTTATAAAAGGAGGTTTCAACTTTTTTCCGCGAGTTTTGACATCGTGTCGAAAAGCATCTTCATTTTCTTTATAGGTTACCGGATCTTCGCGATTTTCGTTCGCTTTGTCTATTACTTTTTCCTTTCGACTATGAGAAATTTCATGAATGTGGTCGTATATGAGTTGAGTTTTTTGCTTATGTTCCTGAAGTAATTCTTGATGGAGATCTATGTCGAATGGGTCTTTTGAGTCTAGGTGTCCTGTAATAATGTCAATAGGTTTCTTTTTCGTAACTGAATGGATTGAATGGTTATATCCGAAAATTGCGTAGGGCATCATTTCGATAGTAGTCATTTGCGGATTTTCTAGTTTCAATACTCTGAGATGTTCGAGAATAGTCGAGTGGAAGCGTTCTACAGGGGCGTTGCTGTTAGAATTTTTAGGGGTTGTCAGATGGAGATTAACTTTATGAAGTTTGGCAAAACCGGTGAGAGTCGAATTTTTGAATTCGGTCCCACTGTCGGCGACAATTTGGAGGGGCATTCCGTGAAATGACATAAAGACAATTAGTGCATGTACGATAGATATCGCGTCCGCAGAAGGCAAAGGAAAAGCTTGTCCATATTTCGAGAAGTTATCTAAGACAGTGAGAAACTTCTGATTGTTGGCTTGAAAAACGTCTACATGAACTATTCCAAATGGTCTTTTTGGAGTGGGTGTAAGCTGTGAGTGAATTTTTGGGGG